TTAAGCGGTATACAACCTCAAAGTATGGAGACTAATCTGATTGGTATCGAGAGTCATATGGATGCATTAAGTTCATTATTGTGCACAGAAGCTATGGGAGAGGTGCGCATTATAGGGATATGGGGAATGGGAGGAATYGGYAAGACAACTATTGCTCAAGCTTTGTTCCGAAGAATTGCATATMAGTTTGAGGGTAGTAGCTTTGTTAAAGATGTGAGAGARAATAGTTGTARTAAAAGAGAKATATGTGTCCTAYAGGAAAAGATTCTAAGAGATATTCTAGTGACYCCTCAAACTTTCATCATGATTSGAGATCCAGATGACGGAGCTGAGATGTTGTGCAGAAGGTTATCCAATAAAAAGGTTYTTCTTGTCCTCGACGATGTGGATAATKTTAACCAGTTGGAATTCCTGGGAGCAACACATGAATGGTTTGGTCCAGGAAGTAGAATCATTATAACCACTAGAGATGAGCATTTGTTAGCTGATGCACATTTCAAATACAAACCTAATTGTTTGCTTATTGATCAAGCTGTTGAGCTGTTCTGTAGGCATGCTTTTCAGAAAAAGAACCCTCCAAAGGGATATGAGGACCTGTCRTATCGTGCAATAAGCTACACAGGCTATCTTCCTCTAGCCCTGAAAGTTTTAGGATCATTCTTCCGTGGAAGACAAGCAAGCGTGTGGGRAAGTGCTTTAACCCGACTTGCCAAAGCACCAAATRTTGAGATCTTTGAAGCAATGAAGTTGAGTTTTGATGGACTAGATGTTTCTGAGAAAAATATATTCTTAGACATTGCATGTTTCTTCAAGGGCAAAGATAAAGAACATGCCACTAGWATACTTGATAGCTTCGGTTTTGAACCAGTGATAGGAATTAGTGTTCTCATTGAAAAATCTCTTGTAACTGTTTCAAATGAAAAGCTAGGCATGCATGATTTGATACAAGAAATGGCTTGGCAAATTGTTCGTCAGAGTTTCTCTGATAGCAGGCTATGGGAGCCAGAAGAAATCCAAGATGTCAGAAATAAGGTAACTTAATTATAATCTCTCTCTCTCTATTAGAAAGCTGCTGTTTCTTAGTACTGTTTTAAAAATGAGAAGACATTGATCATAGTTTAGTTTTTTTWAGCAGAAATTGGAAGTAATTGAAGCCATAGTGCTGCCTGACAACAATGCTGAGTATCTTCGTGAGAAACTGGGTTTTACTAATGTATTGATGCCAGGCAACAACGTTGAGTACGATTGTGAGATGTTGGGTTTTAGTGATGAAGTTTTTAGAAGGATGAAGAATCTTCGACTGCTTGACGTTGACAGGACATGTATTTCTTGTGAACCTACGTTTCTCCCGGATAAGCTAAGGTGGCTTTGTTGGCATCATTACCCGTTTTCTTCTCTGCCTGTAGAACATATGCRAAAGCTTGTTGGGCTTGAAATGTTTGGTGGCTTAATTAAAGACTTATGGAAGGGACAAAAGGTATTTTAGTGAAAAATACAACCAAATTCTTAGAAATAGAGCAAAGTCTTAAATTTTTAGTGTATAGACATACATACCTACATGCAAAAGCATTTTACTTTTATCCAATTCTGAGTAACTTACACTGTAAGTTTTATTCATTTATGTTTTCCTCCCCAGATTCTACCCAACTTGAAGTTTGTTGAACTTAGTAACGTGCTGAACTTAACAAAGTTTCCAGACGTCTCAGGGGCACCAAATATTGAGAGGCTGACTTTATCATATTGTCAAAGGTTGGTGGAGGTTCACGAGTCTCTTGGATGTCACAGAAGGCTTGTTTACTTGGACATGAGCGGTTGCCAGAAGCTCAAGTGTCTCCCATCCAGGATCGAGATGGAATCCTTAGAGACATTGATTCTCTCTAGTTGCCTCAGTCTTGAAAGATTTCCGGAAGTCACACCATCTATGGTTAAGCTATCAGAGTTATATCTTGACAATTGTATTCGAATAGAGGAACTGCCATCATCAATTAGATKTTTGTCTGGTCTAAGCTTTTTGAATCTGATAAGTTGTCAGAATCTGAAGAATATTCCAAACTCCATTTGCGAGCTAAAGAATCTCAAGATCCTTCATCTCCAGAACTGCTACGAACTGCAACAATTACCCGAGAAGCTTGGAATGGAAAAGTTGGAAGAGCTTTCGCTAGGTTTCTCTGACATGTGGAACTTTGGAAGACTGAAGAGTTGCCGTAATTTGACAAGTTTGTGTTCCTTGAGAAAATTAGATCTCAGTTGGAGAACAATTGAAGAGGAAGACTTCCCCCAAGATTTTCAAGCATTTTCCTCCTTGGAAGAATTACATCTAAGTGGCAACACTCAATTAACCCAGTTACCTGCGGGCATCTCCTGTCTTTCTCGACTTAAACTCCTAGAGTTGAACAACTGTTGCCGACTTCGAAATTTGCATGCTCTCCCGTCACAACTACAAGTATTGAGGGCCAGAGGCTGCAGTTCCCTGGAAAAGATTGGAGATATATCACAAGAGTATAAGTGGCTGTATAAGGCATGGTTCATTGATTGCCACAAACTCCTAGAGGATCAAGAGAGTGAACGATACATTGATAAGATGTTGCAGCAATCTTTCCTTAAGGTGGCCAATTTCTCTCTCATGTCTCATCTCTTAATTTCTTTCATTAATCAATAACTWAACCATGATGTTTTCTGTTGAGTACAGAAATGTGCTTCWGTGARTCAYCGGTTAAGTATTGCTGTTCCTGGAAGTAAAATTCCATGTTGGTTCAAAGAACAACAGCATGGGTGCAATGTTGCATTAAGGCTACTTCCCAAGCTCCATAMCCAAGTCATGGGATTTGCAATATGTGGCGTGTTTGACGGGGAATGGAAATATGGTGATCCTAGAATCATCTTCARAATTGTAAATGACGAAAAGGTCATTCCTAAGTTGGAGGTTGATATTGCATCTTCAGCAGMTGATGACTGCAACCTGTGGGTTACSTATATACCATTCDGTTTCTTTCAGCAAATGTATCATGATTTCCAACCTCAAGATTGGTCTMATATCGAAGGTAATCTTGTCATGACTGTAAYGAGAACAGATGGTARTAAAGCTGTAAATTGTGGGGCAAACATAGTCTACAAAGAAGATGTGGARTTGATTCAACAACTYAATACTTGTATCTCTGACTTTGGAAACTTGATGCAAATTGATGGCGACGATTATCATGGAGAGCTAGATTATAAGGGAAAGGTCTCTGCCAATACGTATGTGTATGAAGAAAAGTCTGATCAGGATTCAGAGATGTCTCTAAGAACTAGAGCATTACAGAAACGGGACGTGTATAACAGACCTGTCATCTATACACAGATGATGTAGAGGCCTCACCAAATGCTCAGCTTCATCTATTTCTGGGAAGCCTCCCCGAGCAAGCCTACATTTGATCACTGTTTCAGAAGACTATTTAATTGCTAATATGTCGATCAGGTACTGCAAATTTGGATAAAAGGACCCATTTTCTGATGTTCAATTTATTCACAATTTTGAATTCAATTTCTTGATCACACTTGCCTTTTACGTAGTGTTAGATATAGGGATTCGAAGATGATTCATGACCAGATAATCTCCTTGTTGGATCGTGAAAATTCACTGTCCAAAAACAACAATTCTTCCCTTATAGCCTTCGGTACCAAGAATTTCGTATTGGATAATCCAAGAGAAAATCTGTATCTCAAAGTCTGGGAGATCGAGTCCTTATATAACCCAGATTCTCGTTTACATATTTATATGAGAGATCGACATGCAGTTAAGAGTAGTTATAATCATTAATGGATAGGATTATATCACAATACTACTGTTATCCAAACACTGAATGCACAAGCTCTAAGTCTGATTGCTCAGAACTTATGTCTGATTGCACAGACTTTTGCACAAATCAGATTTTAGACTTGGTCAGAATTCGTCCAACTTCAGGAACAATTTCAAGAAGGTTTCCAACTTGGGAAATTCCTTCTGGTCATCCCAAAACTAAAATTCCCTAAGTCTAACTCTTCTTGAAGCTGAAATTCGTCCACCATCAAGGGTCTCTGCCCCTTCGAACTCAGCTAGGGGGTGCAGGACAAAATTTGTGAGTGTGTACTCCGCACCTCCTAACTCACTTATGTTGGTGTTATCACTGTAATCGACCTCAAGTGAATCACAATTACACCAAATGACACTAAAATCACCAACGCGTAGCACCACACAGTCTTCACTCTTCAGTTCGTGCAAATACTTTCCTACTTTAGTTGTTTTGTATCTTTTATACACACACACACACATATATATATAGATGCATATATAAGGTAGGACTTGGGATCACGTGAGACCAGCCTGTTTTTGTGAGACCCGTGAGACCACCTTTTTACACTTGAAACTTCACAGCAAAATGCTGTGAAGGTAACCTTCACAGCAAAAAAAGGTTCGATTTTTTTAAACCTTCACAGTGTTTTTGCTGTGAAGTTTCAAGTGTAAAAATGTGGTCTCACGGGTCTCACGAAAACAGGCTGGTCTCAAGTGAACCCAACCCAGGTAGGATTTTCTACTTTGTAAAAAAGAAGATTTTTAGATTATTAAAGGAAAAAGTCATGTGTAAGCTGTTGGGTTTGAGTCACACGATCACAAACGATCAAGTTACAATCTTTGAGCAAGAACTAGCAACGATAAACGTGTGACATTTAGGTTGATGAAGAACAATCTTGGATCGAGCAATCAAGATGAATAACAAAGTAAGCAAACTCAAAGAAAAGCACAAATAGACAACTCACATATTTTACCTGATTGCACCACAGGCAGAGTGGGGGTTGCCTTTATTTCTGTGGCTACATATCATATACAAAATTAGAGTGTTGTTTCAACCATATTTTAACTCAATAACAATGTCAATTACGAAACCGAGTCCAAACGTTAACATAGAAATCCTAACGATTCAAAACGATAAACCCGGAAGAACAGGGTCTTTATTCCAACAATCCCTCCCTTGAACTCATTCTTCTTAAGAAGCAATTAGTTCATATTTGGTGCAGCACACACCCCCATCTCTTCACAAAGTCTCCGAAAACTTTCCAACTTGAGAGGCTTAGTCATCAGATCAACAAGCTGATCCCGAGTACCACAAAACAACAACTGAACAATTCTTTCTTTAATGAGCTCTCGAAGAAAATGATACCTCACTTTTATATGCTTAGTACGTCCATGGAAAACTGAATTTTTGGACAACTTTATAGTCGATGTGTTGTCACACATTAATGTTGTGCCACCCTCTTGTGATTGACCAATTTCTTCCAGAATCTTTCTCATCCAAACAACTTGACACACACAAGCTACAACTGATACAAATTCAGCCTCTGTGGTCGATAAGGTTACTATGGCTTGCTTTCTAGACGACCAAGCCACATCTCCTCCACACATCATAAACAAATAACCAGAAGTGCTCTTGCTACCTCTACGTCTCCAGCGTAGTCACTATCTGTAAACCCATTAACTCACCAGTTTCTCCTCTTTTATAAAAAATCCCATAATTTACAGTCCCCTTTAAATATCTCAAAACCCTCTTTGTTGCAGCAAAATGTAGTTGAGTAGGATTTGCCATAAAACGACTGATAAGACTTACAGAAAACATAAGGTCAGGTCTCGTAGCAGTGAGATACATAAGGCTACCCACCATCTGCTTAAACCGAGTTGCATCCACCTTAATGCCATTTTCGTCACTACTAATCTTTGGCCCTGGAGCAATTGGATTGCATACCAAGTTACTTTATGCCATCCAAAATCGACATAGAACCTCGGCTGCATATTTCCTTTGACAAATGAATATGCCATCTGACCTTTGTAATACCTCAAGCCCAAGAAAGAATCTCATTTCACCCAAATCTGTCATGTCAAACTCCCTTTTCATTGAAGACTTGAACTCACACAACATTTCTTTATCATTGCTAGTAAACAATAAATCATCAACATAAATGCTAATAGTAAGAGTTTTACCTTCTTTTCTTTTTATAAACAGAGTTTGCTCACTATGACCGCTTGTGAAACCTTTCATGAGAAAATAACTCTATCCGACTAAACCAAGCTCTCGGTGCTTGCTTTAGCCCATAGAGGGCCTTATTCAACTTGTACGCCAAGTGCTCGCTCCCTTTCTTCTCATAACCTCTTGGTTGTTCTACGAATACTACTTCCTCTAGTTCCCCATGTAGAAATGCAGATTTCACATCTAATTGATAGAGTTTCCAACCATTTGCAAGAGTTTCCAACCATTTGCAGGCTTGCAGCTGTAAAGGCAACAATCATTCTTACTGTATCCATCCTAGCCACAGGTGCAAATACTTCTGTGTAGTCAATTCTTGGTTGCTGAGAATACGCTTTCACCACCAACCTTGCTTTATATTTATCAACCTCACCTGACTCATTTAGTTTGGTTTTGTAAATCCATTTTACTCCTATTTTCTTAGCACCAACAGGTAGTTCCACTAATTGCCAAGTCTGATTTCTTTCAATGGATTTTATCTCTTCATCCATTGCCCGCCTCCATTTTGAGCTCTTAACTGCTGCTTCATAACTTGTCGGATCGGATGAAACCATAAACACCATGTTTGCTTCTTCTTCTTCCGACATTCCTTCTTCGCTAACATAATCACTTGACCATACGGGAGGACGCCGATTTCTGCTCTCCCTCAGTGTCAAACTTCCTTGAATCGTTGGTGTCTCGGTTGTTTCGAAATTCTCTTCTTCATCCGCAGGTGAATTGTTTTACACTACCTGCTTAGCTTCCTCTTCTTCTACCCGCTCACCTTCCTCTTCTACCTGCTCACCTTCCTCTTCATTTTCTTCTCTTGTTTCAGCAGCATAATCTCCCCATTACAGCTCTGTTAACTGACTTGGTCCATAGATAGTATCCCAATGCCATGCACGATCTTCATCAAACACCACATCACGACTAATAATAATCCTTTTGGCAACAGGATCGAACATTCTGTATCCTTTTGATTCATCACAAAACCCCAACAATACACATGCACGATCTTCATCGGACACCTCGGGCCATAATTTTTCAAATCTAATGTCCTTACGATCTTAGAAATCACTACAACAAAATTTGATTTATAGGACGCCCAATAGACCGCTTTATAGGACTTAATTTATAGGACCAAAATATAAAGCGTCCTATCTAAAGGCGTTGTAATAAGTTTATATGACGCTTTTGGGCGTCTTAACAAGTTTTTGAGGACATTTTTAATACAAAGTGTCGCATTAGCAACTTTATGGGACACTTTTGAGAAATTGTCCTATAAAATCAGTTTTTAATAGGACACTTGTTTTTATAGAACAAATTTTCAAATAGTGTACTATAAAGTTGATAACGGGACGTTTTATATTAAAAGTGTCCTAAAAAACTTATTACGACATCAAAAAAACGTCATATAAACTTAATACAACACCATTAGATAGGACACTTTATTTTTTTGGACCTCTAAAGAGGTCTATTAGGACGCTTGGAATTTGGGAGTGTCCTATAAACCCGATTTTGTTGTAGTGGAGTGAGTGGAAATGTAAGAAAATTTTGAGGGATCTAATGCTGCTTCTACAATACTTTCTCATCTCCGACTCTCCCTCTTGCTCCACCGCCTGGCGCCGTAGGAAACGGTAATGGGTTGACAAGCGTAAAAAACCCAAAGATTAAAGAGGCTCAGAAACATGAAAACTTGAAATTATTGAGAAATCTAGAAGAGAACTTCTACTAATAAAGCTTGAATTGAATTAAACATCAACACTTGAGGGTTTAAATACTAACTAGGAAAGGAATTCTAAACTGACTAGGAAACAATAAAATGATTAAAGATAAAGTTAATTAGGATAAACTAAAGCAACTAGAATCATAAAGGGTTAAGGAAACAGATTAGATCCAGGAGACGCCCAGGTATACATGCGACTATCCACGCGGCTTAAGTCGCGGGACCTTCTGTTTCATCATCCGATGGGTTGTGCGGCTTTCCACGCGACTTAGGCCGTGCAGAAAGCCGCGGGAACTTCTATTTCATGATTTTTGTTGTTGTTTTCTCCCGGTCCATTTGTTCTTCTATTTGGTTGACTACGTAAATAAACCTTGGTAATTCATTGGTATCCTTGGTAAGTCACTAATTAGTCGATAAGGCATGGTTTTGCATTTTATTTTTGCTAGTATGAAATCGTTTTTGTGATGCATCACCAACAATCTCATGTTCTTATCCAAGTTGTTCTTAATCTTTCGCCTCCCCCCTAAACGGTGGGTTGTACTTGTACCCAATGTCGATTATTGTCGACCGCACCCACGATGACTACCACAATTTGATGACTTTCTTGCCCTCAACTAAATGACAGGAAACACATTTCTAACCAGATATAAATCGTAAATTCAAACTTCCAACATAATGCTTTTACCTTAATTTGCTGATACAATACAAACTTCAAACCTCGTCTCTTTGCCATTTTCACTCTCATTTTCTTGAAATGAATAGGGTTAATATCACCATTATTTCTAACATAAAGATCCCGAATTTAGCTGCCTAAAATCAAGTATATGCAAACTTCAAGATTCCAAATTCATGGCTTTCCCCAATTGGCACAAGAGTCATGCATTACCTGTTTTGCCACTTTAACCCTAAACGAAAACTTAATTAAATAATAGGAACCTAATGTGCATCCAAGGGTGTAGATCCCTTCTTAACGCTTTTCACCTTAATTCTCCTCACCGAAACCCGACCCTCTATATATGTGTGTGTGTGCCCGCATTTATAGGAACCTGCCCCTCTCTATAAGGGCTCTTTTCTAGAGAATTCTAAAAGGGTTTTACATATCACCTTACTTATTGTGATAATGTAGTGTGTTGAGCGAGTTGGTTTTGCTAACATTCTGATCAGTCTACATTTTGTTGCAATGATGCGTATGAAACAATCTGATATAAATCTGGGTGTTTCTGATCAAGATGCAATGGTTATATTGTATGATCATCTATCTTTATATTGGCAAATTTAGCATCCCCTAATCTAGTTTAAAATTGACCTTCCTGTGAATAAAGGATGCAGGGGGTTCTGGAAAGAAAATTCATGTAATATGGATGAACATCATATGTGTAGTTCATACAGGAAGTGGTGAGGTGGGGTGAGGGTTAGAAAGGAACGGGAGTGCTTGAATGGCTGAGTGGAAAATAAGAGGATAGGTCTGACCCCACCTCCCACATGCACATTGCAGGTTCCTTTTTGGAATCTTTGTGTGCCAGCCAGCTAGAAATGCCTTACTGCTACATATATATTCAGACATTAATAACAGTACAAAACAAAGGGGTTTCACACTTTCACCGTATGATAAAATCCATCCGTATGATAAAATCCATTGGTAATCCACCACAAATCGGTCAGAAATTTCCTACTGAGAAATTCATAGGAAAAACCTGACGGTCTAACCCTTTTATCATGGGATTCAACATCGGATTGTTGACTATACAAGTAGACTTTTCACGTTTTATCATGGGATTCAACAATGAAATTTCCTACTGAGAAATTCATAGGAAATTTCCTACTGAGAAATAACAATGAAAGTCTAAATGTACATAGGCATCTTATTGTTGACTATACAAGTAGACTTTTCACTTTTTATCATGGGATTCAACATCGGATCCAATTGCAAGCAGGTTTTCACTTTTTGCCACATGCTTTTGATATGAAAGCAGGACTTGCTGTTAAAGAATCAAAGCCATTAGTTCCAAATTTTCTCAAGACCCTCTGCCCGTTCCTTTCTCATTCTGTACTTTAATGGCTTCTTCCAACTCTCCTTCATGTTCTCTACCAACTGGAAGATGGGAACATGATGTCTTCCTCAGCTTTAGAGGTGAAGACACTCGAATGAATTTTGTAGATCATCTTTATGCAGCTCTAATTCATAGAGGGATAGATACATTCATAGACGATGAGATGCTCCATAGAGGGGAACTGATTTCACCAGAACTCCTGAAAGCCATTGAAAAATAAAGATTTGCGGTGGTTGTTTTCTCCAAAAACTATGCAAACTCTTCGTGGTGTTTGGATGAACTTGCCAAGATCATGGAATGCCGGGATCGGATGGGACAAAAGGTGTTACCCGTGTTCTACCACGTGGATCCATCCAATCTGCGAGGCCAGAAAGGAAAGTTCACTACAGCCTTCCAACAAAACGAAGAAAAGTTTAGGGGAGAGATTGAAAAACTGAACAAGTGGAGGGAATCTTTAGTTACAGCTTCCAAGATATCTGGCTGGCATGTCTCCAAAGCAGTCAATGTGTAAGTATTAACTATTAACTGGTACTCTGTAATTCAGTTATTCCAGTCCTAAGTTACTTTACACTCGAATTAACTTTGAAAATACTTACAAGAATATAACCTTCCTAATAAGTTATATTTTAAATTCCGGCACAAAATATTGACTAAAGAACAATAAAGATATGTAGGAAGTTTCAAATGATCAAAAGAGTAAACTGCAGAAAAGTTTCATGTATATAGAGGAGTTTGCTGTGATAGAGTTAATATAAACAATTTATTATCACAACAACTGCATTATACAGTGGGTATTGTCCAATATATATATATACATGAACCAACACCATTCTAAGAGACACAACCTTTCCTAAACACCCGTTTAAAGATAACTGCAACCTATAACTTCCATAACTGACACAGTAAAACATACTAATAATGTTGTCTAGCTTACTTTTAACAGTTTACTTGCGGCTAACATTACTTCTTAAAATGTACAGTGGTGAATCTGAAGTTATCAACAAGATTGTTAAAGTGATCCTGGAGGGTATACAACCTGATGGTAATGAAAATGAACTTATTGGTATCGAGTATCATTTGGATGCATTAATTTCATTATTGTGTATGGAAGCAACAGAAGATGTTCTCATGATAGGGATATGGGGAATGGGAGGAATTGGTAAGACAACTATTGCCCAAGCTGTGTTCCGAAGAATTGCATATAAGTTTGAGGGTAGTTGCTTTGTTAAAGATGTGAGAGAAAATAGTTGTAGTAAGAGAGATAGACAAGTCCTGCAGGACAAGATTATAAGAGATGTTCTAGTGCCGCATGATCATAGGGTCAGAATTCAGGATCTAGATCACGGAGCAGACATGATGCGCAAAAGCTTTTCCAATAAAAAGGTTCTTCTTGTCCTAGATGATGTGGATAATGTTAACCAATTGGAGTTCCTGACCGCAACAGATGAATGGTATGGTCCAGGAAGTAGAATCATTGTAACCACTAGAGACGAGCATTTGTTAGCAGATGCACATTCCATATACAAGCCTAATTGTTTACTTATGGATCAAGCTGTTAAGCTTTTCAGTAGGCATGCTTTTCGGCATAATAGCCCTCCTGAAGGTACAAGCAGCTGTCATATCGTGCAATACAGTACACTGGCTATCTTCCTCTAGCCCTGAAAGTTCTAGGATCATTCTTCCGTGGAAGACAAGCAAACGTGTGGGAAAGTGCATTAAACAGACTTGTCAAAGCACCGGATAAAGACATTTTTGGTTCACTGAAGTTGAGTTTCGACGGGCTAGATGATTCTGAGAAAAATATATTCCTAGACATTGCATGTTTCTTCAAGGGAAAAGATATAGAATGTGTGACTAGAATACTCGATAGCTTTGGTTTTAATCCRATTATAGGRATTAGTATTCTAATCCAAAAATCTCTTATCACCGTMTCAAATAAAAAGATAGGCATGCATGAYCTCATACAAGAAATGGGTTGGAAAATTGTTCGTCAGAGTTTATCTAATAGCAGACTATGGGAACTAGAAGAAATCCGTGATGTCCTTGAAAGAAATAGGGTGACTAATCTCTCTCTCTCTCACTCTTACATTATCCATATAAAAGTTTTTTCCTTTTTTCTAATTTTTAAGAACGAGAACAGATTGATCATAGTTTAGTTCTATGTGCAGAAACTAAAAAACATTGAAGCCATAGTACTGCCAGCCAAAAGATTCAGCCTTCATGATTACGAACCTTACGACCGTGAGAGGTTGGGTTTTAGTGATGAAGTTTTTAGAAGGATGGAGAATCTTCGATTTCTTGTTGTTGATCACTTGCGGTGGCAATGCATTTCTCGTGAGCCTACCTTTCTCCCGCATAAGCTACGGTGGCTTTGTTGGCATCACTACCCGTTTTCTTCTCTGCCAGTAGAACATATGCGTAAACTTGTTGGGCTTGAAATGTTTGATGGCATGATCAAACATCTATGGAAGGGACCAAAGGTATTTGGAAGATGAAACCAGTTTCTTAGAAAGACTAAAGTCGTAAATTTGTAGCGAGTACTACTAGACAAGAGGGTATCACCAATGAAAATCACCGACAGAAATGTGTTTTTTATGACAACATAGCAGTCTGTCGGTAACTCCAAATATCACCGGCTGATTAGCGGGCGATAATTAAATTTTTATTAAATCTTTGGCAAGTTCAATTCATTTATGTTTTCCTCCCCAGGTTCTACCAAATATGAAGTTTATTGACCTCGGTTATATGGGGCACCTAACAAGTTTTCCAGACGTCTCAGCAGCCCCAAATATTGAGAGGTTGATTTTATCGGATTGTCATAATTTGGTGGAGGTTCATCCGTCTCTTGGATTTCATAGAAGGCTTGTTTACTTGGACATGAGCAGATGCACGAAGCTCAAGTGTCTCCCATTTACGATCGGGATGGAATCCTTAGAGACTTTAATTTTCTCTGGTTGCTTCAGTCTTGAAAGATTTCCGGAAGTCACACCATCTATGGTTAAGTTATCAGAGTTATATCTTAATAATTGTATTCGAGTAGAGGAACTGCCATCATCAATTAGATATTTGTCTGGTCTAAGAGTCTTGAATCTGATAGGATGTGAGAAACTTAAGAAGATTCCAAACTCTGTTTGCGAGTTAAAGGGTCTAAAGCACCTCCAACTCCGCAACTGCGAGAAACTGGAAAAATTACCAGAGGAGCTTGGAAGCATGGAAAACTTAGAAGAGCTTTTACTAGGATTACCTGATTATTACATGCGGCACTTGGGAACAAGGCCACCCAAGTCCATTAATTGTGGTATTTTGACAAATTTGTGTTCCTTGAGAAAACTGGATCTCAGTTATAGACGAATAAAAGAGAAAGACTTCCCCCAAAATTTGCATGCACTTTCCTCCTTGGAAGAATTACATCTAAGTGGGAACTCTCAATTAACCCAGTTTCCTGCCGGAATCTCCAGTCTTTCAAATCTTAAGCTCCTAGAGTTGAACCAGTGTTGCCGACTTCAAAATTTGCATGCTCTTCCATCAGGAATACAAGTATTGAGGGCCAGAGGTTGCAGTTCACTGGCAAAGATTGGAGACCTATCAAATGAGTGTGTATGGCTGTATAATGTATGGTTCTTTGATTGCCACAAACTCCTAGAGGATCAGGAGAACGGACCATACATTAATAAGATGCTGGAGCAATATTTCTTAAAGGTAGCAAATTTCTCTCTCATGAGTCAACTCGCATCCTTGATGTAATA